CAACAAGTCGGCCGTCTCCCACCAAGGCAGGGTGACCCAAAAAAGAAAGAAAATCCCCAAAAAGAAAATACTTTCATCATCATTCAACACTTTCACCACACTCGCACATTATCACTGTTTTTGCAAAGGTGCTCAGAATACAACACTTTAGAAGCATACACATATAAAGAGACACAACATATCCCTCCAAACTGCCAATATCCCAAACCCCTCCTTTAAAGTGCAGGCATTGTACTTCCCATTTCCAGGACTCAAGTCCGACTATATGAAAATAACCGGTTTCCCTGAATCCCTTCACTAAATATTACCCTGCTCACACTCCAACAGATCGTCAGGTCCCAAGTACCATTCATCTCCATTCACTCCTATCTAACATGCTCACACACGCTTGCTGGAAGTCCAAGCCCCTTGCCCACAAAACCTATTTTACCCCCTCTCTCCAACCCTTTCGAGGACGACCCCTACCCCGCCTTCCTTCCCCTATAGATTTATATGCTTTCCATGTCATTCTACTTTGATCCATTCTCTCTAAATGACCAAACCACCTCAACAACCCCTCTTCTGCCCTCTGACTAATACTTTTATTAACTCCACACCTTTTCCTAATTTCCACACTCCGAATTTTCTGCATAATATTTACACCACACATTGCCCTTAAACAGGACATCTCCAATGCCTCCAACCGTCTCCTCGCTGCTGCATTTACCACCCAAGCTTCACACCCATATAAGAGTGTTGGTACTACTATACTTTCATACATTCCCTTCTTTGCCTCCATAGATAACGTTTTTTGACTCCACATATACCTCAACACACCACTCACCATTTTTCCCTCATCAATTCTATGATCAACCTCATCCTTCATAAATCCATCTGCCGACATGTCAACTCCCAAGTATCTGAAAACATTCACTTCTTCCATACTCCTCCTCCCCAATTTGATATCCAATTTTTCTTTATCTAAATCATTTGATACCCTCATCACCTCACTCTTTTCTATGTTCACTTTCAACTTTCTACCTTTACACACATTCCCAAACTCATCCACTAACCTTTGCAATTTTTCTTTAGAATCTCCCATAAGCACAGTATCATCAGCAAAAAGTAACTGTGTCAATTTCCCCTTTTGAATTTGATTCCCAAAATTTAATCCCACCCCTCTCCCAAACACCCTAGCATTTACTTCCTTTACAACCCCATCTATAAATATATTAAACAACCATGGTGACATTATACATCCCTGTCTAAGACCTACTTTTACCGGGATGTAGTCTCCCTCTCTTATCACCACCCTAACTGAAGCCTCACTATCCTATAAAAACTCTTACAGCATTTAATAACTTACCACCTATTCCATAACAGTCGGACCCCCGTTTAGAGATTTTAATCCGTGCCAAAGCTCATCGTTATGCGAAATAATCGTTTTCGAATTAATTTTCCCCATAAGAAATATGGAAATAAAATTAATCGTGCAAAAACCGCCCAAAAGTATAAAAAAAATTTTTTTTCCACCAAAATGTTAATTTTCAATACCACAACTGCAAAGGCATGCACATTACATGACACTATTTTGAAGTTCATGATTGCTGAGGAGGACATTTATCCTCTCTCTCCTTTGAAGGGAACACCCCTTCCTTCTTCCCAGTAGAATCCTTCTTTGCTTCATTCCTTTATCCTTTCTTAAATGACCAACCAGCTTCAGAGCTCTCTGACCTCTGTGACTAACTAAATCACCTTTCCATAAGACTCTTTCTCCGATTTCTTCAACACATTTCCTAAAATGGGCCATAACATTTGTCATTGAAATAGTTCACACAAAGAGGTTGCAACACTTGTCATATTTTCTTCTCATAAAAGGTTTGCGTTCAAAACCACTCTCACCACATTTTCCTTAATCTTTGAAGTAGCTTCAAATCATTCCACATGGCATAGTATCTGAACATTCAGCCCCAAACCCTTCCAAATTTTTCTTAATTTTCATACTAATTCTACCCTTTTTACCACAGTGTTCACTTAACTTTTCCTTAGGGCACCATTCAACTTCATTTTGCAAAGAACCCCGATAACACTGTAATACAGTACGGAAATTCCATTTGATGCTTCGAATTTATCCCAGGCCTCTGCAAACACCCTAGGCATTACTGCCTTTACAACCCACTGTAAATATATTGAACACCTGGTGACATACACATCCTGTCTAAGACCTCTTTTAACGGGAAGTGCCAATCTCTTCTACACACCCTAACGTCCTCACTATCCTCAAAAAACTCTTTACGCATGTATACGTTACCGATTCCATTACTTGCAACATCTGCCACATTGCTCCTCTATCCACTCTATCATATGCCTTTTCTAAATCCATAAATGCAATAAAAACTTCCCTACCTTTATCTAAATACTGTTCACATATATGCTTCAATGTAAACACTTGATTTACACATCCCCTACCCACTCTGAAACCTCGTTGCTCATCCGCAATCCTACATTCTGTCTTACCTCTAATTCTTTCAATTATAACCCTACCGTACACTTTTCCTGGTATACTCAGTAAACTTATTCCTCTATAATTTTTACAGTCTCTTTTGTCCCCTTTCCCTTAGGTACCTTCCCCTCTTTCATACATTTATTAAACAAAAGTACCAACCACTCCAACACTATATCCCCCCTGCTTTTAACATTTCTGTCATGATCCCATCAGTTCCAGCTGCTTTACCCCCTTTCATTCTACGTAATGCCTCACGTACCTCCCCCACACTTACATTCTGCTCGTCTTCACTCCTAAAAGATGGTATACCTCCCTGAGCAGTGCATGAAATTACTGCCTCTCTTTCTTCCTTAACATTTAAAAGTTCCTCAAAATATTCTCGCCATCTACCTAATACCTCCATCTCCCCATCTACTAACTCCCCTACTCTGTTTTTAACTAACAAATCCATACTTTCCCTAGGCTTTCTTAACTTGTTTAACTCACTCCAAAATTTTTTCTTATTTTCATTAAAATTTCTTGACAGTGCCTCTCCCACTCTATCATCTGCTCTCCTTTTCCACTCTCTTTACCTTTCTTTTACTCTCCATATACTCTGCTCTTCTTATAACACTTCTGCTTTGTAAAAACCTCTCATAAGCTACCTTTTTCTCTTTTATCACACCCTTTACTTCATCATTCCACCAATCACTCCTCTTTCCTCCTGCCCCCACCCTCCTATAACCACAAACTTCTGTCCCACATTCTAATACTGCATTTTTAAAACTATTCCAACCCTCTTCAACCCCCCCCACTACTCATCTTTGCACTAGCCCACCTTTCTGCCAATAGTCGCTTATATCTCACCCGAACTTCCTCCTTCCTTAGTTTATACACTTTCACCTCCCTCTTACTTGTTGTTGCCACCTTCCTCTTTTCCCATTTACCTCTTACTCTAACTGTAGCTACAACTAAATAATGATCCGATATATCAGTTGCCCCTCTATAAACATGTACATCCTGGAGCCTACCCATCAACCTTTTATCCACCAATACTGAAAAATATGTGCAGGAATTCAAGGAGTACATAGACAGTGAAGAATTGAAACCTGAACAAGTGTTTAATTGTGACACTGACAACGTTGTGAAACACTTTGAGAATGTCATAAAGGAACGGGAGGTACAGGCCTCTATGGACAGATATGTTGTGCGACAGAGGTCCAGTGACTCTCAAGCTGGTCCTAGTGGCATTAAAAGAAGAAGGGAAGTAACCCCAAAAAAGGACTTGCCACCTCAAGTCCTAATGGAAGGGGATTCCCCTTCTAAACACTAACACCATCAACACTCTCCCCTCCTCCCATCCCATCAATCATCACCAGATCTTCAATAAAGGTAAGTGTCATGTAATTGTACATGTCTTCTTCAGTTTGTGTGTATTAAAATTAATATTTCATGTGGTAAAAATTTTTTTTTTTTCAATACTTTTGGGTGTCTTGCACGTATTAATTTGATTTCCATTATTTCTTATGGGGAAAATTAACTCGACTAACGATAATTTCGATTAACATGAGCTCTCAGGAACAGATTAATATCGCTGGTCGAGGGTCCACTGTAGAAGAAAACCCAGAGGGGTGTGTGTGTATATATATGCTTGTACATGTATGTGTAGTGTGACCTAAGTGCAAGTAGAAGTAGCAAGACGTACGTGAAATCTTGCATGTTTATGAGACAGACAAAAGACACCAGCAGTCCTACCATCATGTAAAACAATTACAGGCTTTCGTTGTACACTCACTTGGCAGGATGGTAGTACCTCCCTGGGTAGCTGCTGCTTACCAACCTACTACCTAGATAGTACGTATGTATTATAATAATAAAATAATAATAGTAATAATAATTATTATCATTATTAATTTAGGGAAGTGGAGCACAGATCCAACTCCCTTGATCAAGAGCCCCTCACCAAGGAACCTCCCTTGAGGGGAAAGTTACCTTCTGAAACATCGTTCGTATCCAGAAGCAAAATCACTGTTCGTATCCTGAAAAATTCGCTTGGTGGGGCATTCGTAAGCCAAGGTTCCACTGTACATGAAAAATACTGGGGCTGGGATGGAGGATATTGTTAGCCTGCTTGACAACATCATGAATGGTAATGGGGTCAATCCTATTATCTGCCTCAGTGCTGGAGGCAATGATGTAGGCAAGCATATAAGTGAGGATTTAGTTAGAAGGTACAGGACATTATTGTATTAGTATACATATATAATAACAAGTGCTAAACACATTTCAGATCATAATTCAAGGCAAGGCTTCTGCCTCCCAGTTAGTTACAAGGTTCAACAGAGAATTGCAAAGTAAAATGCATAAGATTTTTTTTTTTACACACCATTAGTCTCTCACCATGGCAGGGTGATGTGAATAAGAAGAAATGCAAGTTTTTCTTCTTTTTACATTGTCATTTATACAGGAGGAGGGGTTTTCTAAATGCTCATGCATACTAAAGAAATGGTAAGAAACATATGTCAGAGTAGTGTACCCTTGTTGCCTGAGGGTTGGTCTGTGGTCAGCCTGCAGTGCCTCCCAGATGTCCACTTGATCCTGTTCTGTGCCAGCTTCTACTAAAGACTGCTGGATAGCATACTGCAGCAGAGCATCATCTTCATCAAGGCTCAGTTGCACATGCTGCTCATCAGAATGACCTAAAAGTAAAATAAAAATATAATGTTCCAAATAAAACCTGATGATTGTAACTGATCTGTCACCGAAACATTTACTGAACATTACTAATGTCTTAAGAAGTTGCAAGTCTTTCCCACCTGCTAATGATTACCTGAAATACAGTACTACAAACTCTTTTGAAAACTTTTTAATATAAGGTCATTTCCCCACTAAGACATGACCCAAGATGGGAAATACATTCACCATCATTCATTCCCTAAATTTTTCCAGAAGCACATGGATACCACAATTTTAAAGATGCAAGGATCCACATTCCTTACCCATCCTTCAGACTGCAAGTGTTGCTCTTTGCATCTCCAGAACTAAAATTCAGTTGGCCAGTTTCACTGAATCTCTTCATAAATGTTATCTTGTTCACACTCAAACAGCATGTCAAATCCCAATACTATTTGTCTTCATTTTAAAGCCTGCCTTCTACTATTTCCCTATTCATACACTGTATATCTTATGGGTGTTCCAAAGTTGGCCAGAGTCACATAGGAATTTATCATTATTTAATTTATATGATTTTCAGGAGAATTTTTTTTTTGTCAGTGATGACCACTAGGCCCCTCTGTTTGATACCTTCATGATTTTATTGTGATTTATATTCTTTGTGGTCTATTTTCATATTCTCCTGTTCCTGTTACATAGTACTTCTTCTTCTTCTTTCAATGCACTGGTTGTAACCCCCTGATGTATTATGTACATTATTAAATATTCCCACATATCTTATTGCATAAACCAAAATATACAAAAACATTACTTACCAATCTTTGTATAGTGTGCTGGAGGCTCAAATACAGCTTCGTCTATAGCACACGTAAGTCTGTCCTCCTCACATACAGTGGATACATTGTTAATGTTTTCATCAACCCCAAATATATTTCCAAATGTGATTCTTGCTGTTAATACATGGAAGAGAGGGATTTCTGGAAAGTACAATGTAATGTTACAAAAAACTAGAAAGAAAATACCAGTAATTATGTTAAAACAGAATTGGGGGAGGGTGTGTAAAAGAAGAAAGTTAAAAGTAAACAGAGAAAAGAGCAAGGTGATGAGAGTAACAAAAAAGGTTAGGTAATGAAATAGTGGATAATCTACTGGAGGGAAGAAATATGGAAAGTGAAAGTGTCAGCATACAGGTCTATAAAGTGAAGCACAGAACCTAAGTATTATTATTATTACATTCATGGCGAAGCATCAACCTGTTGGGGTCATATAGCACCTGGGAAAATAGGAAGCATTAAGGTTTGATCCAAGGAAGAGCTGGGCAGGTCAAATTCTTTGGATTAAGAGCCCCCTCACTGACATCATGGAACTTCTCTTAAGAACAAAGCATAGAAAATAAGAGAAGAAAAGGTTGGTGGCTTATTAAAGCATCTGCAAGAATAATTTTATCTATAGAAGAAAAAAAAATATTACCAGAAGACAGAGGTACCAACAAATATGACTGAAGCATGATCTTTACATGTTGTAGTGGATATAGTGAAGTCATGTTTGAGAGCAATGTGTGATGTTAATATTATGAAGAGAATAAAGAGCACAGAAATTACAAGACTGTGTTGGTTTAAAAAAGGTAAAATTCAAGTGGCAGAGAGGTTGCTGAGGTGAATTGGCCATTCAGACAGAATGCAGCAGAATAGGATGGAAAAGGTGTATAATTATATTCTGGGTACAGAGAAGGAGGTTTAGGGGTCATTCCAGGAAGGGTTGGAGGTAGAGGGTGAAGATGTGTTAACATTAGATTAGAGTGAGTGGACACAAGTGGTTTTTAGGGTTTGAGATGCTGTTGAAGGGATTCAAGGAAACCTATCAGCCAGACTTAGAGTCCTGGAGGTGGAGAGTACAGTGCTTGTAATTCAAAGAAGAGGTGGGAATCTTGCTGTCTGGAGGATTATCTGAACTGTTGTCTGTACTTGGCTGTCAAGAAAGTTATTGAATGAATAATAATAAATGTCATGTTTCGTTTTCTTCTGGGTCATCCTACCTTGGTGGGAGACTGGTGATAATAAAACAAAATTTTAGTAAATAAACTTGTAATTTTTAATTCTTAAGAAAAATATAAAAAATTACCATAAAAGTAAATACAGGAGGGCCCTGCATATTCAGTACCCTAAACAACAAAAAAGCACAATACCCTGACTGGAACAATACACAAATAACCCGAACATAGGAGAGAGGAGCTTACAACGACGTTTCGGTCCAACTTGGACCATTTACTAAGTCACACTAACAGAATGGAGAGGAGGAGGGAGTACGTACATATAGTCCAGCAGACAGGAATGGGACAAAGAGAGGTAGTAGAGGAAGATGATTAGTCGTGGCAGCGGCGGCGCGGCGGCGGCGGCGGCGCGGCGGCGGCGGCGGCGGCGGCGGCAGCAGCAGCAGTAGTCAGCCAAAGACTAAGAAAGAGGAGCACTGCAAGGGGGCCAGGGGCCTTGGGTATTTGGTCCATTATTATTATTATTTTTTTCCCCCTCTGTGTTCTTGTTCCTACCCTTTGTGGGCCCCTAGCTTCCTTGCAGTGCTCCTCCTTCTTAGTCTTTGACTGACTCCAATACTACTACTACCTCTACCACTACTTCTCATCTTCGTCTACTACCTCTCGTCCCGTCCGTCTGCTGGCCTATATATACTCCCTTCTCCTCTCCTTTCTGTTAGTGTGACTTTGTAAATGGTCCAAGTTAGATCATAAGCTTCTCTCTCCTATGTGCAGGTTATTTGTGTGCTCAGTACCCTCTAAATAGTGTTCCAAATTTTCGTTGGTTTTCAACTGACCCATTGTTCATTATGTTGGGTTCCTTGAGCACTTCTCTGCCAAGTTTGTGCAACAACTGCATAAGGGAAGGGCAACCAATGCCATACTTTAAGGTTAAGTATTGTATGTACAATGCATTTTTTATTTTTTTATTTATTTTTTTTTTTTTCAACATGTCAGCTGCTTCCCACCGAGGCAGGATGACCCAAAAATTAGGAAAGAACTTTCACATTCAACACTTTCACCATCACTCATACATAATCACTGTCTTTGCAGAGGCACTCAGATATGACAGTTTAGATGTCCCTCCAAACTGCCAATATCCTAACCCTTAAACTGTCCAAGCAGATCTACGTTCACATGTGTAGTGCTCCAAAAATTGATCTACATTTTTTTACATATTTTCCAATATAACAAAAAAAAAAAGTAGATCAAAGTTTTTTTACACGTTTTCAAATGTAAAAAAAAAAAAATTACTTTTTTTACATACTTTCAAATGTTGAAAAAGCGTATATATACGTTTGGACCGTTTACAGGCTAAACCCCTCCTTTAAAGTGCAGGCATTGTACTTCCCATTTCCAGAACTCAAGTTCGGCTAACCGGTTTCCCTGAATCCCTTCACAAAATATTACCATGCTCATACTCCAACAGCTCGTCAGGTCCCAAAAACCACCCGTCTCCACTCACTCCTATCTAATACGTTCACACACCCCTGCTGGAAGTCGAAGCCCCTTGCCCATAAAACCTCCTTTACCCCTCCCTCCGACCTTTATGGGGATGACCCCTACCCCACCTTCCTTCTTCAATGGCATAACTGCTCAAATTACCTGTCCTACACTTGTCTAGCAATTTTGCCTTCTGCTCCAGATTCATGATTTTCTTTGAGAGCTTAGGGGTTGGCTCATCAATAGCGGTTGCTGCTTGCTTAGGGGCCATACTTTCACTAACACACAAACACAGACAGATGCGAACAGTGGCTGGAGAATGACTGAGCGGCGGGTGGGCTGGATGCCAGTTGTGGGGGTCGGAGGGATGGAGGGTAGTAGGGACGCGTGGGTAGAGGGAAACTCAAATATGATTTGGCGGCTGGGAAATCCTGAATGTGTGAAGCTTGCAAAAGCTGAAAACGCAAATGTTGAGGGAGACCTGTATATGCTCTCCAAGTTATTCTACTTTGTTCCATTCTCTCTAAATGACCAAACCACCTCAACAGCCTCTCTTCAGCCCTCTGACTAATACTTTTAGTAACTCCACACCTCCTCCAAATTTCCACACTACAAATTCTCTGCATAATATTTACACTACAAATTGCCCTTAGACACAACATCTCCGCTCCCTCCAGCCGCCTCCTGGCTGCAGCATTTACATCCCGTGCTTCACACCCATATAAGAGTGTTGGTACCACTATACTCTCATACATTCCCTTCTTTGCCTCCATGGATAACGTTCTTTGTCTCCACAGATACCTAAACGCACCACTCACCTTTCTTCCTTCATCAATTCTATGGTTTACCTCATCCTTCATAAACCCATCCACTGACAAGTCATCTCCCAAATATCTGAAAACATTCACTTCTTTCATACTCTCTCTCTCTCCAATGTAATATCTCTTACTTATATTCACTTTCAACTTTCTATTATTTATTACACACTCTACCAAACTTGTCCACTAACCTTTGCAACTTTTCTTTATTTTCTTTATTTTCCTAATTTTTTTATCTGTTTTTAATGCCTACCTGTACTGAGCACGTAATATACAATAGTATAAACACTATATAATTTTAAAATGCATTCGATAATGAAAAAACGCTCTTTTCCACCCACTGGCAATTTTCACTTGCTGCACGGGGCCAGGCACCCAAGAGCCATACAAATGGAGCCTTCCTGTACAGTATTATATAATATAGAGAAATTAAAGTAATTCAAATAAACATACCTACCAATTTTAACAGGAAATCCATTAGGGAGTTGCATCTGAATGAAGTGCTTCAGTTTGGCAAAGTGGGAAGAGCTAATGGCCATAAGATCAACAATTGGCATAACTTGATCTTGTAACTTCAGTGGGTACTCTTCTGCCAGCCAAAGGTGAGC